GAAGAATCATCACCCGATCTAGACGAACTTCGAAAACTTGTCGATATCAGGACCGGTCACTTCAGTCATACTCACAGATTGTTCCCTGGACATCCGGATTGGAATGATGCAATTTCATTATTGGCAGTCACTCATCACCCTAGCAAAGAGGACCATCGACTATGCCCCGCATGTCTGATGGAGACCCCTGCACCATTATCGATTTGTGTAATGTGCAAAGGATTTTTGGTGAGTCATGGATGGAGGAAACGAATCAAGATCACCGTGGCTACAGTACCAAAGGCCGAATCACATCATCGAGAAGAAGATCTCAAAGACCATGTCAAGAAAGCATGGGAGGAGGTGAAGATCGATTTGACAGGTGATGATGATGACGACGAGGTGATGCCAGATGATGATGATGATGTCACCATGAAGAGTCCAGAACAAGAAACTCAACCAGAAGAAGGAGATGATGATCAAGCCTCGAAGAAGGGCGACATCAATGATGAGAAAAGAGACTTCAGAGAACAAGATGAGGTCGACAAATTTCTCAATCAAGAAGGAAACCCGACCGATGAGAACGATGATGAAGAGATAGCGGTCGATGAAATCAACATTGAAGAGTACGAGGCTGGAGAAGCTCGTGATGCAGTGATTGAGTACCCCAAGTGGATGCAGCGGATTGAGTTTGGATCAAAGGTCCTGCCGATCGAACCTTGCACAATTGGAGATGCTCAGCCAGAATTCATCAAGATCCTCCTGTTGCAGATTGGATTACATATCGTCAGGATCTACAGACTATTCCAACGGAACTTCTGTGGAGACATCGAGACGGCATGGAAACATTTTCAACAGAACCAGAAATTCAGGATGGACCTGGACTCAAGAACACCTTACCTGGGCGAGGATGAAAATGGTGAACTCATTGAACCAACTGCACAACAGATGAAAGAGCTCTACAAAGAGATCGGCCGACCAAATCAAAAGGACGACATCGGAGAAGAGGGATTCGTCAATGCATACTATGGGGCAGTGGTACTCAAAAGACTTCTCATATATACCCTTGAATGTGGCTACACGTATGATGACTTGCAAAACATCTTCTTTGACGAGGAGATGGAGAAGCTGTCGAAACGTGACACCACAATGGATGAGATGAGAAAGACCACAGCGGCCCGCGACGCCCTTGACCGACAAGACGTCATGGTCAGAAGAATCATTGCAGGTGCATATAGGGTAAATGCTGTTTATTTCTTCAGGAACGTTGACTTTCAAGACGCAATCACACTGAATCCAGTTGACATTGTGTGTGCTCTTCGTCCACCACTTCGAAGAATATCACTTTTACACCTGATCCTTCAGAATGGCCGACAATTGCCGCGACCTCTACTCCAAAAGCTATATGATGCGATCGATGACTACAATCACATCAAGCAACGGGAAGATCAACGACCAAGGTGGGGCATCCACTTGTCTGAAGCTCACATACTTGCGATTGCTGATACCCCGACTCCTGCTGATCGTGAACGTGCAAATCCAGCCGCTGGCAAATCGAAAGCAGCCCCGAAAGCTGCACCAGCACTGGGAAGAGTGTCGAAAGCGAAAGCATCATCGTCAGCGACATGGAGAACAGTTGAAACCGCTCCTCCGCCAAAACAAGCTCCAGTGACCCCGCCAAAGAAGGGTGGAAAAGACCAAGGAAAAGGTGGAAAATCTTATTCACACCGTGGCGGAGACTGGAACCAACAGGGATACTATGGATGGGGATATAGATGATTAAGCGATCTGACCTCTGCATAGGTCCTGATTGAACCTGGCGATGCGAGGATGCAATCATTGCTCGAGATTTACCTCTACTTCATTTTGAATGATTTCTGAGAGGACTCTGAGCCGGCTAATTTAGAACCACACATTTTTTTTTGAACGTCATTGCATGAAACGCTGAGTTTCTACAGCGGTCTACGTCTCAACCGACGAAGGGACGGGAAGGTAAACTTCTAGTTCCATAGTCAACTTTGTGTTTTGATTTCTTTAATTCACATGCTTGAGTGAGACTCCATGCTGGCTACGCCACATTGGACGAGCCTCAATGCTAGACACCGACTACGTCGTGTCTACATGCACGTGAACAGAACCTTCATTTTTTTGGTAGAGATTGTAGCAAGCCGCCATGTAGATATGAAGTTCTGAACGGACTTTAGCTCTCCATAATTCAATAAATGAACAGCTGCAGATGTAGTGGACCAATTCAAGGGACACTCCTTTGCGCGTGGCCGACAAAGTTGGCCATGCGTGGGGGGTGCGAATAGAGTGTAGGCTACGGAACACTGTACACTCCAACATAATTCAGCCCTCAAGGATCCACAGCCAAAGGGTACGTCAACTCGCCCCTTTGGCTCAAGACCCACTGCAGCACTGGAGAAAAGATCAGCAATGCGGAAGCAGCTGCCCGTGTGACGTCGTCGAACTGGAACATTTATCCTCAACATCAACCATTGGAACATAATCGGGTAGGCAATTCCCCGATTCGCATATACTATATATACTATATATACTATATATACTATATATACTATATATACTATATATACTATATATATATACACTATATACACTATATATACTATACATACTATATATACTTATATATACTATATATACTATATATACTATATATACTATATATACTATATATACTATATATACTATATATACTATATATACATATATACCATATATACTATATATACTATATATATATATATACTATATATACTATATATACTATATATACTATATATACTATATATACTATATATACTATATATACTATATATACATATATACTATATATACTATATATACTATATATACTATATATACTATATATACTATATATACTATATATACTATATATACTATATATACTATATATATATACTATATATACTATATATACTATATATACATATATATATATACTATATACTATATATAAATATTATGACCAAACCTTTGATTCTCCTCAATCTCAGCATGCCACGGCAATTTTTTGTCCAAGGTGGCAGTCCACTTTCAAGCTGCCGATTGCCCAAGGAGAGATGCTACACCAAATCCCAGCAAACTCGCATGGCTATGGAAAATGACCCATAGAAATAGATGGTTCACCATGGTTTACCTATAAAATGTGCACTATAAAAATTCTGATTTTCTATAGCTATGTTAGTCATTACCAGAGGGTGATATACCTGGTGATATACAAGTGGAAGTCTTTCAACAAATGACCATGGTGATTTACACAAAAAAATGGATGCCCCCAAATCGCCACCCCAAATCTCCACCAGGACTTTGGAAGAAGCCACAGTGCTCTTCTCGAGGTTCGGTGTCCGTGGTTTTTTTACCTTGGGAAACGATAGGTGGTTTAAAACGATATGATGTGGTAAGTCCAAATATAAACAATCACCAGCCGTGGCCGTAAATGGGTGGAATTGAAACCAGCCCTTGATGAAAGACTTATCCTTGGGTTTACCACATATCTATCGAGGTTTATACCCAATATAAACCCTATGTGTATATATATATATGTGTATATATATATGTATATATATATATATATTACCCAATGTATGTACATATATACATACATATACTTATCATATACATATACATATACATGTGTACGTGTACGTGTACATGTACATGTACATATACATATGCGTATGCATATGCATATGCGCATATATATATATATATATATATATATATATGCATATACACACTTACACATACACATAGACATATACATAATACGTTTACATAATACAATTTCATAATACATAATACACAATACGCAATACATAATACATAATGAACAATACACAATACATAATATAACATAATAAATATATTCATGGGGTTTTCCCAAAAAAAGGGAAACCCTTAAAGTCCCGTTTAGTAGTCTAGCAATAACATTTTCCAGGGTCCAAGGGATCTGCATTCTTCGAGGCTGTGGCAGTACTACATCAAGTAATGCCAGTAATGCACCTAATTCGTAAGAGATTTCAAAAAAAGCAGTGTTGTTACTCCCCAAATTTTCATGGTCTACTGAGTCTACTGGAACAGAATACTAGAGACCCGTGTGTGGTCGGATAGCTATACGATGTGAACGATGTCAGGTTGGGTGATGTGGCTCGGCTGGACACTTCCTTGGGTTCCGTCACCGGCCTGGTCTTCGTGACCTTCTTTGACGTGCGTGTGGCACAGAAGGCCGGGACGGGAGCACCAGCTGTCTGTGTAATTTCCACATGGGGACACTCTCTGCAGGGTGGAATTGGAAGCTGCTTTTGTGATGTCACTTGTGGCGATTAGAGTGAAATTGCTGCACAGGTATTGCAACAATTTGGGCCTTGCGCTGAACCCTTCCAGCCGGCTGTCCATGACTTCCGTGTCGGGCTTCCAAAGCCGAACATCTTGCTGCGAAGTCTTATCAAGTCGCCACTCACCCATCCCTTTCGAGCTGATGAGTTGGTTCAACATGTAACAGTTATTGTTGTACTTTGTACTCATTGCTCTCATTTAGCAAACATACACAGACCTTCCCAGTGTATGTGGATTCACAATGATTCACATATGGGTCTGGATCGATACCAAGTCTGGATCGATACCAATTGAGAGATTCTTTCGTGTTTGTCTGTATCTTTGCTAGAAGCTCATTGTATCCCACTTTGTGGATATCCAACAGCTTGACACATACCCAGATGATTCCATGTCATACAGTATTGGTCATATTCGTAGAAGGTTCAAGTTGTTATTTTGCCAGCACGGCTATGCCACATTTTGGTTTGTTAAATCTAATTTCTTTGCCGGCCAGACTGCCTTCTTTGTTGCAAATCACTTCGCATTTTGGTTCACATTTTGCTCCTGAAACTCTAAACTCTTGCTGGTAAAATATCTTGAGTTTCAGGAGCATTGCTGGTAAGTTTCACTTCCTTCTTTACATATCTTGCTGGTTCAAATCAGGTAAGATATGGGTGAAACTTGCGGAGGGAGCAGTTTTGCCTTGGAATTTTATCCGACTCTCCAACCTGAATGTGACCTTACAGAAATCATCCCTAGATACCTATATCAATGCATCATTTTTGTTCGTCAACCTCCCATTTTTTGATTGAACCACCGTTCTTCAAGATGAAACATGAAACTCTTTTTTTTCCAGGATCAGCCCTAGATTTTCGGTGGTGACATGTTTCTTGCTTAAATCCAATATTTTTCAACAAATTGTGACACCCTGATTGGATTACGATGTAAGATATGTAAGTCGGACGTCCATTTTAGGCGGTGAGCCTGGCAACTTCTGTCTTTGCCGAGCTCTCTGTTGCCTGGCACAGAAAGTGGAGGTCTTACAGGACCTATTAGAACTATATTTATATGTATATGTATATACATATCTGTATACATGCATATATATATTTACAATATATATATATATGTATACAATATATATATATACAATATATATATACACAATATATATATATATATGTATATATATATATGTATATATATATATATACATATATATACATATATATATATACATACATATATATATACATACATATACATATATATATATATACATAGACAGATACATATCAACATATATCAACCTTTCAAGCAGCAAAAACAAAGGACTTATAGAGCAAACCAATTATGTATTTTACCAACAAAAGTTTGGGTTCTATGATCATACATGGGGATTCCAGTATGGAATATCTGGAATATCGGATATTTGGAAACAGCAACTGGAGATATCAGCAGATAGATCCTACTAAGCATGGGATTTACATGGATTTACACCCTCTACCGACAAAAGTCAACCAGCCAAAGTGGATATCTAATCTGGAAAAATAACATTTGATATACCCTCTGGTAAACTAACATAGCTATGGAAAATCACCATTTTTAATGGGTAAATCCACTATTTCTATGGCCATTTTCAATAGCTATTTTGACATAACCAGAGGGTAGGAGGACAATTTCATTTCGTTTTCGTCCTATTTGTCTCTTTCAGTGTGGCCAGGCTCAATTTGGAGGCTTTCAAAGCTTTGGTGAGATCGCGGGCGTGTCCAGCTGCGGCGAGGACAGGGGATTTTGTAACGACCAAAGTAGCAAGTTCAAAGAGGGAAATCTCGGCTGATGCGAGTCAGTGCCATTCTTTTGACTAGTGTTCAATTGGCAATTTGATGCAATTTGCACACCACTTTTTGGGAGCAGCTCTGTCTCATTACTTCACTCAGGACATTGTTGTGGAGTTCTACGACATGCGTGCCGCTCATCAGGCGACCCACGAAGATCCAAGTCGTGTCAAGATGGCGACGTACAAGTTGTAGCTGGAGATCAACTTGCCAATGAATAATCTGCTTGGATAATTTGCTTGTTGGATCTTATAGGCACTCTTTTGGCACATTTTGTAATGGGAGTGATTTTCTACAAGTTTAGAAACATGCACCTGGGAAGTACCGATTTCTTCCAACTGCCAACAGCAGTGAGTTGCATCAAAAAGTTGACCAAGTGATATGTGTGATGTGATGGATTCTACAGATTGTAAGTGTTTTGGGGATACCAGATACCTGGTTGTTTTCCTTGCGTGATTAAGTTTAGCCAGTTTAGCCTAATGAAATCACCGAGTTGATGATGTCATGATGTTATTAGGAATCACAAACCATTTCCCAAGCTTCCATGTTTTGTCATGGGGTCTTCACATGTTTTCAGCACCGCACCCGACGCACCCGATGTGCAGAGGCAACTTTCTGTGTACCTGGCACTCGACCGAAGAAGAACGCGGGACTCACATCTCCGTCGTCGCCTGGAGCACATTTGAACGGGGAAATGGCTCAAATGTGGTGAAACTATGTGAAACTTGGTTAAACGGTTAAACCTAAGATAGCCTAAGATAGCCTAAGAATGGTGAAATTCTATGAAATTCTCTTTTCTTTTCAATGGTGGAATTTGGTCTGGTTCATCATGGGCTTATATATCATTTAATCTAAGTTGTTTTTCACTATATGTCTGGAAACGCTGAGGAACAGGATTTACCCTTCTATTTCCAGCCGCCTGCGTTTTCCATTCCTGTGATTTCGTTGGCGGTTTTGAAGACTTGTGATTGTGCTATCCTACGAGCCTATGAGGAAAGGCAACAAACTTCCATGTCTACACGGAACATTCACTCACATCCGATTCTGCGGGTGAAAATCATCCCAATAGCAGACCGTTAGGGCCGCCCCAAAAGAAACCTTTCAAGTTGTCAGAATTTGTGGCATGCCAAGGTCTTCGGTATTGGCAAGCAAAATGCCTGTCACACCTGCCATGTTTGCAAAGGATTTGAGCTCAGCTTTCGCATTCAGAACGTCAGACTTGCGGATTTTTAAGTCTTTCAATGTGTATTCACATGGTATGCTTCAATTCTTTAACGAGCCGATGCCACTCATGAACTTGATTGGACAATTGCATTTGGCAAGTCTTCATCAAAGGAACATGTTTTTTTTCACAGCAAACTGACGCTTATTTTGATTCACGTGCAACTGATCTTGAGAACGACCAAATATCCACTTGATTCATTTTGATTGGCCAGGTATCCCACTATGTTTCTGGTACAGACTGGGTGCAGGCAGCAATGCCAGAGATGGCTATCTGATGAACCCAAAATGACCGAAGTTTTCACGTTGCGAAACAACCGGTGTTTCCCTCTGCCAGCAGGGAGATTGGTATGAAACCTTTGACAGATGTGACAGATTGTTTTGCAGGAGACGATGAATGTGTGTGCTACTCCATCCATGAATCAGGTCGCAGCCTGGGTTCAGAAGCTCTGACTTGGAAAGATTTAGAAAGACCTCTGAACATTTCTGAACCACCAAATACGCCTTAGCTCTTTCCAGAATACACTTCAAAAGTTTGCGAGTCGGTTCTATTGATGATTGATTTGAAGTGCACTGTCTTATGAGTAGGTATCTCTGCACCTATCCATCCACAACATGCGCGAATCTTGCGGGACTATGTAGCGACCTTCAAACCCAGGTGAAGATGGATACCTACTATAAGATCAATGGGAATTTCAGGATCCTAAAATGGAGGTACTGTACCATATAAGGCCATATTTTGTGGGGATATTCCCTTACATAGTCCTTATATAGGCCTTATATATGGTAGGTACCTCCAATTTAGGATCCTGGAATGGCCATTGATATGACAGTGCAACCATGAGTTGAAGATTTTACACTTAGGTCGATCCCCTGGTGGCTCCTCCTGCTGGGCCTGTTGGGGGCGTTCGCCGGGGCGCCTAAAATGGGGACCCCGACGCTAGCGTTTCGCAAAGACTGGTCATTTTGGATGGACATTATGACAAATATAGTTACAGTTATAAGTTATAACAGTTAATGTATGTAAATAATACATATATATATATTTATATATATATGTATATATTCATGCGTAACACACTTGAAACTATATATATATGGTTTGCATATATACATATTATGGATATTATAGTTTTATGTCATAACATATTTACATACTGTGATTGCACCATCCACAACTTGGGGTTGATTATATTGACTCATGCCCATATATACCATAGACTTGAGAAAAAAATACGTGGAGATTTGAGCACGAAACATGTGGGGTCTAGGGGTCCACATAGAAGATCGGAATAGCATGCATCAACCATATCCAATCTTTTCTAGGTGGATTCCTCTATTATACTCTTCCATTTAACATGGGACACCAGAAGAACATCAATTTACCATTCGCCGCTCTGCTGGTCATGTCTGGGATTTAGGAATGTTATGATATGTTATGATCTCAGTGATATCCCAGGCCGAGGGGAAAACCATTCCTTTATTGGAGACCCCGAGCTGAGGTCAAACTGAAACACCGAAGAGTGGCGCGACCTACCAAGGTGGAGGGTCAGTCCAGTTGTTCACAACTTGAACCTCAGATTTTGGTGAGTTGAATCGCAGATTTTGAAATCTTGAATCTCCGCATTTCAAAATGATTGTGTTGCAAGGACCTGGAAAACCGTTGCGGGAGAAAGTGCGTACACAGGTCCGGGACCGTTTTGTGAGTGAAACGCAAGCCTGGTTTAGCCTGCAACAACCGGCGTTCTAACCCATGGCCGACTGTAGGACTTGTCCAAGTTTAACATTATTCCGGAGAAGATCCGCTCTGGCGAAGATACCCGCACAACGGTGCGCCGCTGCGTGGGCCAATGTGCCGAATTCCCACGGCAGAGAGGAGCAACCCATTTTTAAATATTTTTTTGGTTGGTTTAGGTTGTTTAGGCTGTTTAGGCTTTCATGATTTTCGGAGAGGCATCAATTTCTCTTGGGAAAGGGGATAACTACACCGGGCCAACAGCATACTGCAGCATACATCCCTCTCCCTATGTGACGTTGCCACGTTGCCACGTTGCCACGTTGCCACGTTGCCACATTGCCACGTTGCCACGTTGCCACGTTGCCACATTGCCAGGTGATGGTGCGCAACATTCCAAAGGCATGCAGCCGCGAGGCCATCGTGGAGCTTCTATCGCCTTGTGGATTGGCCAACAGGCGACGTGACGACATGGATGGGCCGATGGGGGATTATTCCAGGGGCACGGGGTGATGATCCTGGATGACCATCTCTGGTTATGACTAACAGTTCGCCATGGTATAGATGGAAAAAGGCCCATAGAAATAGAATGAAATAGATGTTTTTTGATGAGCTATAATGATGATCCTGATGGAGAGTCAGGTACACTTTCTTCTACATGCCCTTCGACAAGCGCCGCAATGTGCATTGCGGATTCGCCTTCATCAATTTCAGGCGATGTCCGATGTGCAGCCTGGATACAAATCATCTCTAAGCCCACTGTTTTACCTTTCGGATCCTTTCATTATTTCATGATATTTAAGGTCATTAATGAATATTAATGAGTCATTGAGTCATTACCTTTCTTTACCTTTCGTTGCTTTTTCACCTGCTTTTGATTTTACCAGGGTGGTGTTGGCACCGGCCATGGACACACCATGGCGCAGTGCGGTGCGAGGTCGCCTGCTGACGTTCTGGTACTCTTTGAGTGCATGACGTCAGCGACTCAGCGATGCCATGCGCCATGCCGAAAATTGCAGGGGTCTGGGTTCATTCACAACAGGAAGGTTGTTGATCAGTTGCGAAGCTACTGACTCTTGGTGTTTCAGCAAAATCTGACAGAACTTGACTTTCAGAGAAAGTTCCCCGTGCTTCATAGCTTATTCATAGCTTATTCATAGCTTATTCATAGCTTATTGACTCCACCATATGGCTGGTGAATGCTGGTGCCATTTTTTGGGGGCGCACAAAAAGGCCCTCCTTTTGGCGCTCCTACTTGAACAAGACGCATCTCACCGTTGGGGTCTCCGGTCGAGCCGTCGAGTCGATTTGGCATAGATTTAAGTCATAGATTTGTCACCGGAAATCTCCGGTTAAATGGCATCCAGAAATGGGGAATGATGGACAATTCCAATATGATGAAACCGCTTTTTGTGCAGAAATGGTTTCTCTAATTTGAAACACCTGCCATGATTGGCCCCGATATAAATTGCGTAGAACTATGCTAGCTGGTCATAGATGGGGGATTGGTATACGTATCAACATGTATAAACTGAACGAACTGAGACCATAACCATCCAATAATCCCTTCCCCCCCACCCAAAAACACCCCCTAAACGCCCGAAACCATGGTTTTTTGTTGGGAATTTCCACATTGGGACCATAGAAATGGGATGTTTTCCATATGAACGGGTGATGGGATTACCATCCAATACCATCCATGGCCCAAGGCCGCCACAATGCCTGCGGTGAGCTACGCTCGCCTGCAGGGTCATGCCACTTGGCAGCTATTCCCTCGCCAGCTTTCGGATCCCAGAAATCGCGGTTTTTACGAACTTGCACTTCGACATATTTTAAAATACATAATTCATATATATATACATATATATATATATACATATGTTATGCCAGTCAGAATCTGCTTGGAATCAGCCCTTTTCACCACGTGGCGTCACGTGGCCAGGAGCAGCTGACAAAGCATTTCAGCCTGTCGGCGGTGATGCGTGACAGCGATGCTTGGAGTCCCGGCCTTTCGCCCAATGGCGATGATGTTTTAGTCAGCCCATACCTACTCATTCCTGTGTATATATATACATACATACATACATACATATGGTGGATATATATATATATAATTATATATATATATAATGATAACATTAGTAACAACAATATTAAAACTAATAACAATGATAATAGTAATCATACTTATATATATATGATGAATTGTTGGATCGGACATGATGCTTTCAATCCACTTGGAAAACGATTAAACACCCACGATTTTAAGTGTACTACTCCTAATGTATGGACGACTATTATTGTCCCCTTTCATCATACATGATCCATTGTCAAAGACCCATTTTCTTGGTTCAAACCCTCTGTTCATCCAATGTCACCAAATCAATTCAAACATTCAAAAACTCCAATGACTTTAGCGATTCATCCGTAACTTTCCCAGACATAGATAGATACATTTATAATAACCCTTCATCTATCTGATGTACATCTATGATATGTCTGTATTTGACAACCCAACCCCCAAAAAGGTGCCGTAAAGGACAGCCATTCCGAGCGACGCGACAGCGAGGCCCGTAAGCGCCCCGTCTTCCGCCAGAAGCAAGCGACGAATGCCAGCTACGAGGCGCCGGTGACTGTCATGGAATCTTCTGAACGCGGGATCATTCTATCTAGCTATACACATATATATATATATGAGCAGGGACCCCCACACCCCCCCCACCCAGCCAGATGGTTCCCCCCCCTGTGGCAGGGGAGGGGGGGTTTTCTCAGTAGCCAAGCCATGGTGTATGTAGTCTTTATAGTGCATATAGTGCATATGTATCGATAATTAGAATGGATATACTATATGTAATATAGAGTGTATGTGTAGTGTATATATATATAAACATATATATATATATAATATGTAAGATATAAATAGAATATATGCAATCTATACATGTATATATATATATTTATAATATATATATATTGACATATATATTATATATATAATTATATATATATATATTGAACATATATATATATATATACATATCGTATATGTGGTTTTTGATAGAATATAGATAGTATATGCCACATGTACTGTATCCACAGTAGATGTAATATATACAATATAGGTGAATATGTTCGTTGAATAATTTTTACATAGTATATGTGGTATATTGAATATCGACAGCAATACACGCTGTATATCTAGAGTTTATGTGTATATATATGTATATATATATATGCATATATATATATATATACGTGTACAGTATGTACAATGTAAACAAAATATGTGATAGATACAAGATCAAGATATCAATCTGTAGTATCTAGAATGTGCATATATATATATATATATATACATTTATTGTTTTTCTACTGTACATATGTCTAGGTTTGCATAGGTAAGCTTTGCGTAATCCATAGGTAGCAAATATGTTGTAAACCATGTGGGAGGCACGCTATAGGCGGTTCGAAAAAAAGGTTATGATAGAAATATACAGGTAGACAAGGTCCGTTGACGAGGTCGTGGCTCTCAAGTGCTTCAAATAACGTAGAGATGCGAGGTTGGAGGGGTGGAAAGGGGAGTATATATGTGTATATGTGTATGTATATGTGCAAATAACATGCAAATACTAGGTTTTGGGGGGGTGGGGGGGGTTAGGAGTGGGGGGGGATACCATTGGGGGGGGAGGGGGGGTGTGGGGGTCCGGGGACCGGGCTCATATATATATATAAGATTATGTATATGTATATGTATATGTATATGTATATGTATATGTATATGTATATGTATACACACACACACACTTACACATCTACAGACTATATGCAGATGATATATGACGTAGATGTTACACATGGAAACTCAGCATTAAACGAGGTGATCTCGGGGAAAAACGGACCGACTGGACTGCACCGCAGGAGTTGGAATCGCTGGCAGATGCAGCGTTGGGTCACATGGATGCCGAGTTGGATGACAAGTACCAGTGCCTCGGAATGCCGGACTTGTCAGGTCAAAATTTTAAATGATTGGGGAATCTGGTAGGTTTTGTTTTTCTGGTGATTTCTGATTTTTCTGTAGATATATCGAAGAATATTTCATATCCAATATATCCAGAATTCACGGTAGCTTTTTGTCAGCTATCAACACTCACATTGTTGCTATCACCGTGTGACTTTGTGTTGAGATTCCCAGCTGTTGCTGAGGCCATGCTATGTCTCGATGAGTGGCCTGCAGGCATGGCTCCGTCAGGAATAGTGAAATAGTGGGTAATCAGGGTCATCCAACTCCCTTCACATCGAAAAGGAACAGTTATGAACAGTTTATTTCATATGGGTATGGATCAATACCTATTAATACCATTTTTAGTGGGATGAACATCCATTTACCAGCTATTTTGATGTTCACCAGGGGGATAGGGTTTTGACCCATCCTCATATGATTTCTGCTTTAAATTTGCCGAAAGGGTTGTTTCATCTTTTATCTCTTTACGGTCTGTCTAGATTGCAGTTGTCAAACATTTCAGGAGACAGATGCTGCCAAACTGCAGGACCGATTTTTTGGTGCAAGGGTACTGACGGTCGTGACAACGGCATGACAGTGATGCACAAGAACAACCAACTAGAGGATGTTGTTCTAGGACATACTGTAGTGAGTCATCATGAGAAGCCAAAGCTTAGCTGTTGATTTGGCTACAACTGAGGGAGAAAACCTGAAATCTCTGGCAAGGAAGACTTGAGCTTTCTGGGACCTGAGGGTGGTATCCCCAGGGCTTCGGAGCTGTGCCACAAGATTTTGGGTTTGGGCCATGTGTTTTTTCCACATAAATTTAACACGAACCTCCGTAAACACCACATATTTTGGTGGGAACAGCAGGTTACCAGGCAGAATCCTTGAATGATGACTGCATCGTGCCAGGCATATCCGGCATATCTCAAAAAAATGCCGGTCTTGTGCGCGTATTTTCGAATGTCTAACCACCAACCTTCTGTCATTCATGAGTTGATGATTTGGGAGAGTCAAAACAGCTTTGAATCATCAACGTTTTGGATCTGCAAACTGGATGACCCCAAGCCAGCATTGATCCACAAGTTGAAATCAAGTACTAGGATGTCCTATTCCAATAAGTTTTATTGTTTTTTTTTGAGAATGGTACCACCCAATTTTTCATAAGCATGAATATTGCCAGCCGCCCAGATCCAATCACTTTCTGGTATATCCTATTCGTATACCACCCATGATGCCATGCAGAGGATGCAGAGGATTCGTAAGATCCCGATATGATAGTCCCACTTACCCATGGTTACCCTCTGGTAATTTAACATAGCTATGGAAAATCACCATTTTCAATGGGTAAATCCACTATAAATGGCCATGTTCAATAGCTATGTTAAATTACCAGAGGGTAACCATGTCCGATGACATCCCATAGTCTTTTAATCTCCAAGCAGACATTCCAGAACAAAACATATTTCAAATCCATTGTTCTGCAAAAACCTGGACAACATGGTAAGTTGAGCCCGTTGTTCTGAAGGGAGCGACTTGAAGAGCTTAAAGGGATGTGTGTGTATATAGAATTATATATATATACACATGTGAATAATGATCTTTACTATTAGCAGAACCAGCTCTGGTCATTTTATGACTGGTCATTTTATGACCAATGTATGTATATACATATATATATATATGTATACATACAAATATATGTGTATATATATACAAATATATGTATATGCACTATATAAATGCACTATATAAATGCACTATATAAATGCACTATAAATTTTTAAATGCACCAAACTCACACACATGATGCTTCCCTCGAGGCATTTCGTTCCTCTTGGGACCTGGCTGCGGTGCTTGAGGTGAGCAGCACGCGGCTTTGTGTAGCGGCGAAACTATCGCCGACGGGATTTCCCGTGGGATATCTTGGGGATATAATAGATGTGGACAACAATGGATCATCGTGATAAGAATGGATTTTTGATACAATATTATATCTATATAATGTGAATAATCATGTGATATTTTTTGGGATTTTTGATGTGGATAATGTGTGTTTTTTTAGGGGAAACTCAAAATTTCACTGGGGAAATAAGTGGATATAGCCTGGTTTGAACATGACCGTAGATGTGGAAAGCCCTTTTTTGGCCGTTTGGAAAATGATCTACATTCATGGGGGTTTTCTACATTTATGTTAGTTTCCAGGAAGGTAACGATGATATGTATATATATATATAGATAGATAGATAGATAGATAGATAGATAGATAGATAGATAGATAGTAAGCAATGATTAGCAATGTTGGCTATATTCTTTTTACGCACACCATGATATTGGTCATCATCATGACTCTTCAGCTTCTGCATCATGAAAGATCACTGGAGACCGCTGTGCCAGGTGAGGATTTCGAGATGAATGCAAGCCAGCTGGGGAATTTGTAGATACTTCAGAAGTTGGTATCATTTGAGGCCGGTTTACTTCTGATAAATGATGGAAACGTATAGAAACAGACGAGTTTTTCTCGGTTGGCTTGCGTTCAAAGGTGGGAAGCACTTCCCTTGTGGCGAGCTCGTGGGGAGGTGACGACTCGGGGGAGCTCCTGAAATTCCCCGGCCCTTCCCAGAGCACGTTGACCAATCCGATGGGGTTTTGGTGTGAAAAAACAGGTGGAAATCCGTTGAGCCCCTGCGACTCGCTTGGGCTCCATTGTTCCAAGAAGCATTTTGCTTTCGCCTGATGCAGCTGACAGACTTAACTGCAGACTGGATACAGAGATATACAGAGTGCATGGTGAAATGATTCGAATTCGTAACAGACACGTGCCCCTTTGTTTCTGGCACCCGCAATGGGGAAGTGGAAGATGTCCAGTGGTTCTCAGGGTTGGGCAATGACCAGGGCAAAAAGATGCAGCTTGGAATACCAAGTGACGTTTTTGTCATTCCCGAAGAAGCTTTGCAGGGATTTGGAGTGCGTTTAGTCAAATGAGGGTCTCTTTCCTGGGATTGACATGCATTGACAATAGGACCATAGCTGCTGAAATATATTCAGGATTGACCTCAAACTGGACCATAGAACTGGTCTTTTTCCTTTTTCGTCCACAAAAAAGTTTGATAGTAGTGGCTACACATATTCCCAAAGTTCGAGGCAATGCACATGCTGCAACCATGCCATTCTATGCCATTCTGGGGATGTCTGGGGATGTGAGAACAAAAAGATGAATCGATGAATTGCTTTGCTGGGCTGCAGTGGTACAGTTGCTGAAGGATTGGCGTTGTGGTGAGTTTGGCATGTTCTGTGGGCAACAGTGGACTGTGACGTTTTGCTGTAATGAAGAAATGAAGATATCGAACGGCTTTGGGGAGTTCACATTTTTCATTTTGCCTGTGGCTGCTTGTTTTTTGCGTCTACGTCACGAAAAGTTCACAGCCACCAAAGTTCAGAACGGGTGTTTGACTCCGTGTGGGCGCTCCTCCCCCCTTTCTCCGTGTGGGGCTGACGCTTACAACTTGCTTGCTTCGCCAAGCAAAAAGAGCGGCAACATCCGCTATGTAAATCACTGGCCTTGACCGTCCCGTCGCGCCACCATGGCGGTCTGCCAATGCGCAGACGGGATGGCTCATGGCTCTACGCAGCTTTATCAATAGCCTGGATCGAATTGCCAACATCATCATACATCATGATACATTCATGATTCTTGCACTTTCCATAATTCCATAGCCATTTCATGTCTTTCTGCATAAGTTATGACCACCTAGTCAGGTTCAAACTGTTCCTGCCAGGAGCTTTGTTCAACTCATAAGAGGTAAGACGGTAAGACCAAAATTCTTGGGTCGAGAAGGTTACAAATCTTGGGCCCATTGGTGACCCATTGGTTTTGCCAGCTCACCCCTTTTGTGTCAATTTCTTCCATGGCTGCTTTACTGCTGACCGATGAGACGCTTTCGCGGGGAGATCCAGTGTGATAAGGCGATAAGAGGCTCAGTCTTCATTCATCCAGCCCGTCCATGTGCTGACCAACTCACCAACTCGGCTCCCAGCCGAAAATCGCTGAGGAAACAGCACCACACATTCTTGCGTAACGGTTTTTTACGTTTGGAAAATCAGAAGCGACAGCTGGGCGACAGCTAAGCCACAGAAGCGACTCGTCGCACGTGGATGGGAAATGCAGGGACCAACAAAAAAAAAGTCGTCACGGAGCCACCGAGTCGATTCGTTTCAGCTGGCGGTTGGCCGTTCGCTTTTTTTTTCGTTCGCCACGGAAAATGGCGCTCGCTCAAAGCGATCCGAACTGACCAGTTTTTTTTTTCTCAGGATTTTGGTAAGTTACCAGTAACATATCACTAGTAACTTCACTATTAAGGAGTTTTTTTGGGATAGGAATTGGAATGTTGGTATAGAGGAAACCAGCGGATTCACACCAACAGTGAGTTCATTGGAGATCTTACCCGATTGAATTATGGGGTTTGAGGAGACATTGCACTATCCCTGAAATTCTCAGTCGATCAATAGACTTCATCATTTCTTTTTCTCTGAGAAATCTAAATCCAGCTTTCCAGTTGAAAGACATCATTGTTTTTTTCAAGTCAGAATTCTGAAGCAGAGACGATATGTTTCTCGTTTTGTTTTGGCCAACAGCAGCTGAATGTGCACAGGTCCAATGCTCGGAGTGGTCCAGTACGGGAGCAGGACAGCTTTTCTCAGGGAAACAGGTCATCAAAGGGACAAACATGGATAAACAACCATAAAAGCTGGAAATCCTGTGTTTGAATAAGAGTTGTCCTGGTGCCCACACACGTAATTCAGGCAGCAGTGGTCTTCGCAGGTTCAACTGGCACCATATGGCACCAGTTTTTGAGTGACAAGCCATATTTGAGTCGAAGAGAGAAGTGACCTGAGATTGAGCGCTAGAATTAGAATGAAGAGAATTAAATCCCTTCCACACAGTTGATAAAGGTTGATAAAGAACCCCAGCAACTGGTTTGGTAGTGTATCGATTCAAAGGATTTGCAACTGGATGGGATTAGTCTTGATTAGTGTTTCAATCGGGCACCCTTCCCTTAGGACCCAGGAATCGTAACTAGTAATCAATCCTAGTTTACACACAGGTTAGTTCTCAGACTGCGGTTATCCCACTACTGACTGGCCTGCAACCGCAACCAGTAGCTAGTTGAGACGATGCTTGACATCCCAAAGTACAAGAACTTCAAGACCACTGCTGTGTTTGCAACTCTGCCGTTATCGTTCCCCCAGAATCTTAGGCTGGCATGGCCGTTCGACCGGCGAGCGTAGCTCGTTCTTGGCAGAGAAGTAATATCCAGCAGACTCTCAGATGCCTCGGCACCGCAAAGTTGGGGGCATGTTGTTTTGTTCAGATAATTTTTGTGAATCTTCTCAGCAGGATTTTCACATGATTCCAATGATAAATCTAACTCATGATAGTCGCCAGAAGGCAACAAAAATTCTCGTTGATTTTTGACGCCCCTGGCGTGGGCCGACCTCGGGAGCCTGCAAAAAAAACCACCGTACGGCCAATTTCCGGCCACCAGTTTCAGATGGCTTACAGGCGTCGCCTACGTAAGCAGATTATGAGACCTTCGGTGCAATTTGCGCAATTTCACACAGGCGGGGCGCCTGTTTGTGCCGGGCAGACTTGGAGATGGCTGGACAGCGGGCTGGCAGATTTTCAGATGAAGTGCACCCTCTGAGGTTTTGATAGTTTTGGTAGATATGATACGTTTGCCTCTTAGTTGAAAACCCAGTTGTCCCCACAGCTGGAAGCTAGACATTTGTGCAGTTGGCACCCCAAACTTGGATTCTTCCATTTTTTTTGGGCCGAATTTTCCCATATCGAACTTCGACATCTTCGACTCGCGACACTCGCGACTTCCAGGCGACTGCCCAGCCTGGAACCCGCTCTCTCAACTCGCGGCCTGCTGCTGAATGAGGGTTTCACCTCCCAGGCGGTCGAAATCCGATCCCAGAAATCTCCCAACAGCATTTGGAAAGCAGAAAGATTGGGGATTCAATAAATTGACCCATATCCATCTGATTATATCTGAGGTGATTTTATCTAATATCAGTTTTGGATTCGGATACATATATATATATGCTCATATACATGCATAATTCTACCCTGATGCTTCATGGATAGGTCCCACATGTGTATTTTTGGGTGGTAAATCCACAATATACATATGGGTTGGGAACAGTTTGCACTGAAGAAGATTGCAAAAATTACAACAGAAGTCTTGAAGCATACCCGTTCTCTATGCTTATATAATTTCACTAGAATCCATTTTTTGATGCTTAAACCATCTTAAACCCACTCAATTTCCCTGTTTTGATGCTCAAATTCTCCACTTTTTGATGCTTGCATTCCCCCATCCCCATCGGCCAGGTCGTGCTTGACCAAGGTGGCCTTCTCGGGCGAGTCTCCGTGGCCGCAATGCTGAGCTGAGCGAAGGAAATGGAGAAACTCTAGCGAGTTTGAAGAACGATCTGTTCATCGACTGGTTCTCAGTGGGTATGTCTGAAAATGGGGTATACCCCCAATTATAGCCATTTAGTAGGGATAATGATCATTAACCATTGGGTGTAGGGGTACACTATTTTCAGACAAACCCCAGTGTTGATCCGAAAAGATTCTCATTCTCCGTGTTTTGGTCGACGGCTCAGCAGCCAATACATGCTTCGGAGATCTTCGCCAAAGCAGACCAAAAAGTGTCCTGCTGATGTTCAAAGTTTCGACTTGGCAGCGGCCCCGAGAGACAGCGGCCAATAAAGCTCTGTAGGTGGCAGGATGCCGATGTTTCAGCTTGTGAATTTACAGCGAGTTACAAAAGTATTCCAAATATTTCCAAATCCTAAAAAAAGAAGCTGATAGTTTCAACCAGAGCAAAGCTCCGTTTTTTCCTTGGAAATCCAGTCACAAAAACCCAGCTTCGGCACCAAAATCCATTTGGATTCGGTTTGTACCCCAACTTCCGATGGCGTTTGAGCAATCATGAGGACTTTGGAGTGCTCCCGAGTTCATTTCACCTGTAGGTTTGTACCAGTTAGGATTTTCCCATCTACAACTGTTATGGAATCTCAAAATTTGGAGCCCCAAAGTGAACTTCCATCTTCCGTGGCTTATCACAATTTTTCTCCTTGCCCAATGGACATGAAAGAGGGGGTATCTCCATTTTCCCTATTTGAGACAAACCCAATTATATGTACAATATATATATTATACATACTGTATATGAATATCTATATCTATATATGTATATATGTATGTATGTAAGTAATGTGATGTGATGTGATGTGATGTGATGGCATGGTATGGTATGGTATGGCATGGTATGGAATGGTATGGTATGGTATGTATGTACACAACATAATATATCATACGGTTGTGTAGACACCCCAGTTGCAATGAACATCGACCTGC